CCTCCAACTAGGGGCCCTTCGGATCTGTAGGTATCAACTCCCATAATTCCCTAACCCAGGGGTAGGCCACCTTGGCTCTTTTATGACTCGTGGACTTCAACTCCCAGAATTCCTGAGGCAGCCATGCTGAGGGGAAAGGGAGAGGTTTCCATGCTGAGCCATGCTGGCTCAGGAATTCTGGGAGTTGAAGTCCACGAGTCATGAAGGGGCCATAGTTCCCCCACGCTGGCTCAGGAATTCTGGGAGTTGAAGTCCATGAGTCATGAAGGGACCATAGTTCCCCCTTGGTGGCTCAGGAATTCTGGGAGTTGAAGTTCATGAGTCATAAAGAGGCCATAGTTCCCCCATGCTGGCTCAGGAATTCTGGGAGTTGAAGTCCCCGAGTCATGAAGGGGCCATAATTTCCCCCATGCTGGCTGAGGAATTCTGGGAGTTGAAGTCCATGAGTCATGAAGGGACCATAGTTCCCCCATGCTGGCTGAGGAATTCTGGGAGTTGAAGTCACCAAGTCATGAAGGGGGCCATAGTTCCCCCACGCTGGCTCAGGAATTTTGGCAGTTGAAGTCCACGAGTCATGTGGGGCCATAGTTCCCCCATGCTGGCTGAGGAATTCTGGGAATTGAAGTCCATGAGTCATAACAGAGCCAAGGTTGTCTACCACTGCTCTAACCGCTCAAGACAACTGCTGAGCATTCTGGGAGTTGAAGTCTGTACAGCCTCGTTTCTCCACCTCAGCAACTTAAAGAGGTGTGGACTTCAACTCCCAGAATTCCTGTGCGGGGTTCACAGCAGATATTTTTTCCTTGTGCCCGAGGAAATATCTGCCCCTACCTAGGAATAAACTCTCAACCTTCCGAATTGGAGGCCAGCGTCTTCGCCCCTGGCCATCACACTGGGGGCGGTCCACAGAACTAGGGCCAAATAAAAACAGTCCTCCATTTACAAACGGCCGCTAAACGAACTTTTGCAAATAGAGGACTGCTTTTATTGGGTCCTACCCCTGGAGACCACCCCCTATTTGAACAAACTTTCTCTCTCCAGCAATTAAAGAGTGGTAAGGAAAAAGCACCTTGGATATTCTCATTTCCTTCCATGCTATAAACTACGTTTCTCCAGTCTGACTGCAGCCTCTTGATCAGGGCAAACGCCATCAAGGGGTTCTCCAGGGAGCTGCCCGATCCCTGATGCAAATCCTGGATCTTCTGGTAGAATCTGGAAAGCAGAAATGTCGTTATTTTATCATTTGTTAACCCATCCGTCAGGATAGATAGAACTGGAAGGGGACCGTGGAGGTCTTCTAGTCCAGCCCCCTGCTAGACCCTATTCCATTTCGGACAAATGGCTGTCCAGTCTCTTCTTAAAAACTTCCAGTGTTGGAGCATTCACTGCTTCTGGAGACAGGTTGTTCCACTGGTTAATTCTTCTCACTGTCAGGAAGTTTCTCCTTAGTTCTAGGTCGCTTCTCTCCCTGATTAGTTTTCAACCTCTTATAACTCTAGACAACACAGGATCAACAGTAGAAACCTTTCTGGGTTCTGTAATATCTCAAAGATTTAAAATGGACACCTAACACCAAAAATGTCATCAAAAGAATGTTCTTCCTGTGCCAACTCAGGAAACTGAGGCTGCCCAAAGAGCTGTTGAAACGGTTCTACGGAGGAATAGCTGAGTCTGTCGTTTGCACCTCAATAACTGTCTAATTTGGCACCGCAACCAAACAAGACAGACCACAGACTTCAACAGATAGTTAGGACTGCAGAAAACAAAAAAACTATTGCAACCAGCCTGCCTTCCATTGAGGAGTTATATTTTGCACAAGCCAAAAAGAGGATTGTAAAAGTATTTACAGAACCCTCACATCCTGGATATAAACCGTTTCAACTTGTTCCTTCAAGACGACGCTATAGGGCAGGGGGTCTTCAAACTTGGCCCTTTGATGGCTTGTGGACTTCAACTCCCAGAATTCCTCAGTAAGCCTAAAATTCCTGTCAGCGTGGACGGACTTCAACTCCCAGAATTCCTCAGTAAGCATGGATGGACTTCACCTAAAATTCCTGTGAGCGTGGGTGGACTTCACCTCCCAGAATTCCCCAGTCAGCATGGAGGAACTTCACCTAAAATTCGTGTCAGCATGGATGGACTTCACCTAAAATTCCTGTCAGCGTGGATGGACTTCAACTCCCAGAATTCCCCAGCCATCCAGAAACAATACTCTAAGCCAGAGGTCTTGAAACTTGGGCCTTTTATGACTCATGGACTTCAACTCCCAGAATTCCTCAGCCAGAATGCCTGGCTGAGGAATTCTGGGAGTTGAAGTCCACAAAGGGCCAAGTTTGAAGACCCCTGCTATAGGGCCTTGCACACCAGAACGACTAGACCAGGGGTAGGCAACCTTGGCTCTTTTATGACTTGTGGACTTCAATTCCCAGAATTCCTGAGTCAGCAGGGCTGGTTCAGGAATTCTGGGTATTGAAGTCCACAAGTCATAAAAGAGCCAAGGTTGCCTACCCCTGGACTAGACCTAAGGACAGTTTTTTGCCCCACGCCATCACTCTGCTTAACAACTAATTCCTACAACACTATCAAAAGACTAGTAAAGCTTTATTACTATGATATACACTGTCAAAATACTAGTAAAGCTGTATTACTATGATACTCCTCATCTTTCCTATTACCTATCCTTACCTTCTTATGACTATAAATTTGCTGCTTGTATCTTATAATTTATATTGGTTTCTTTTTTTTTTTGTACCCTAATATGATTTAGGTTGTTTGCTTAGCTAGTACTCTATGACCATCACTAAGTGTGTATTTCACGATTTGTGATGAATGTATGTTCAAGTTGTATGTGATCATGATTATCAATATTACTTGTATGGACACTGAGAGCTTCTGCAGTGGAAACAAATTCCTTGTGTGTCCAACCTCACTTGGCCAGTAAAGAATTCTATTCTATTCTATTTGTGCCTGGGGTGAAACAAGGAAGGAAAGAAGGACGAAAGAAAGGAAGGGACGGGGGAATAAAATGGAAGACGAGAGAAGGAAAGAAATGGAAGGAAAGAGGAAGCGAGGAAGGGGGGGAAACAAGAGGAAGAGCTGGGGGGAAGATATATGGAAGGGAGGCACAGAGGGCGGAAGGGGAATGGAGAAAAAAAGAGAGAGAGAGAAAGAAAGAGACCGAGAGAGAGAGAGAGAGAGAGAGAGAGAGAGAGAGAGAAAGAAGGAAGGAAGGAAGGAAGGAAGGAAGGAAGGAAGGAAGGAAAGAGAAAGAAAGAAAGAAGAAAAAAAGAAAGAAAGAAAGACAGACAGACAGACAGACAGACTTTGGATCTGAGGCATCCTGGATATGGAGAGTCTTCATTTTGAACTCTAGACACAATAGAGTTTGTGCAATTTGGGAATAGTTATGCACTTAGGAAGGGAGGAAGGGAAATAGAAAGAAAAAGAAAGAAAGAAAGAAAGAAAGAAAGAAAGAAAGAAAGAAAGAAAGAAAGAAAGAAAGAAAGGAAGGAAGGAAGGAGGGCGGGAGAGAGAAAGGAAGGAAGGAAGGAAGGAAGGAAGGAAGGAAGAGAGAAAGAGAAAGAAAGAAAGAAAGAAAGAAAGAAAGAAAGAAAGAAAGAAAGAAAGAAAGAAAGAAAGAAAGACAGACAGACAGACAAACTTTGGATCTGAGGCATCCTGGATATGGAGAGTCTTCATTTTGAACTCTAGACACAATAGAGTTCGTGCAATTCGGGGATAGTTGTGGACTTAGGACGTTAGGGAGAGAGAAAGGAAGAAAGGAAGGAAGGAAGGGAAATAGGAAGGAGGGAGGGAGGGAGAGAGAGAGAAAGAGATTATAAACTCATCACTTTGCAATGAGAAAGAAAGAAAGAAAGAAAGAAAGAAAGAAAGAAAGAAAGAAAGAAAGAAAGAAAGAAAGAAAGAAAGAGGAGGAAGGGAAGGAGGGGGCTCCCTCCCGCCCCCTCCCGCCCTCCCCTCCCGCCTTACCTGTCGAGGTCCCGCAGCCGGCCGGCCTCGTCCTCCAGGTAGGCGCGCAGGTGGCGGAGCAGCGCCCCTTCCGTGCCCAGCGCCCGGCGGATGCTGAGCATGGAGCTGAAAGTCTCGCCCGGCGCCCCGCTCCGTGCCGGCAGCGCCGGCAGCAGCAGCAGCAACAGCAGCAGCGCCAGGGCCGCCGGCAGCATCGCGCCTTCTGCTGCCCCCGCCGCCCCAGCCCGGAGAGGAGGAGGAGGAAGAGGAGGAGGCGGAGGCGGGTGGAAAGCAGACGGGGAATCCGGGCGGGGATGGGGGGGAGCAGCCCCCCGAGGGGGGGGAAATGTGGTCAAATGGGAGGGGGGAATCGGGATGGGGTCCAGAAGGAGAGGCGGGGGGAGGGGGCGCTGGGGAGTTGCAGCATTTTTTCAGGAAATTGACTGATAGCAATCTATGGGGGGGGCGCTGTGAGCCCTCCAGGTCCAATCTATGGGGGGGTCTGCCTGACTTTGGATCAGGGAGGGTCGCTCCTGCCCCCCCCCCCCGGCCGAGTGCAACGTTGGGGATAAATCTAGCAAGCTGCGGACAGGCCCATCCAAAGCATCCGAATGCTGCAGGATGAAATCAGACCCCCAGGATTTGAAAACGCCCCCCTCGCCCACTCCCTTTTCCTTTCAGGGCTAGAAGTCCCCCCTCCTATTTTCCCCACAACAACCCTGTGAGGTGGGTTGGGAGAGAATTAGCTTTCGTGGCTACCATGGGATTGTCTCCTAGGGATGGGCCCAAAGTCACCTGTTCAGCTTTAGCGCCTAAGGCAGGACTAGAACTCAGCGTCTCCTAGTGATTGGCCCAAAGTCATCCAGTTGGCTTTCATGGCTAAGGCAGGACTAGAACTTCCAAGTCTCCTAGTGATTGGCCAAAGGTCACCCAGTCAGCTTCCATGCCTAAGGCAGGCTTAGAACTCACCGTCTCCTGGTGATTGGCCCAAAGTCATCCAGTTGGCTTTCACGGCTAAGGTCGGACTAGAACTCACAGTCTCCCAGTGATTGCTGCAAAGGTACCCAGTCAGCGTTCATGCCTAACGCGGACTAAAACCCACAGTCTCCCAGTGATTGGTGCAAAGTCACCCAGTCAGCTTTCATGCTTAAGTCAGAACTAGAACTCACCATCTCCTGGTGATTGGCCCAAAGTCACCCAGCTGGCTTTCATGCCTAAGTCAGAACTAGAACTCACCGTCTTCTGGTGATTGGCCCAAAGTCACCCAACTGGCTTTCATGCCTAAGGCGGGACTAGAACTTATCGCCTCCTGGTGATTGGATGACCCAGCTGGCTTTTGTGCCTAAGGCAGGACTAGAACTCACTGTCCCCGTTTCTTAGCCAGCACCTTTACCACTAGTATGCATCAAAACGGCTACTTGTGCGTTGTTTTCATTTTTCCTGAGTGCGCAGAGCAGCGGCCTTTTCTGTCCGTCCTGTTTGCTTGCGAAGAATCTTTCCTACAACCTTGGTGCGCTCCGGAGAGGTGAACCAGACCAGCAAATGTTCTGGTGCAACGCTGGATTTTGGACCCCTCTCTTGTGTTGATTTAGAACCTGTAGCATCCTAAGAGAACTTTCCTGCGATTGTGTGGCTTCCATAAACTTCATTCCTAATATTTACATCTAAGAAAGCGGGGAACTGTCGCTTTGATAGTGGGATAATGCTATTCCCTGGCGAAAAAATAAAATAAAATCCACAGTTTTGCATATGGTTACCCAAATCTTTTAAGATGAGTGCCTATTCTGCCACCTAGTGGAGAGTTTGTGCATGACCTGTAGAATAGGTTTTTAATTCAGAATAAAGCTGGAAGGGACCATACAGTAGATTGTATTAACTTTTTTGGGGGCTGCTGCACATTGCTGGCTCATATTTTAGGGATCGTCCACTAGGACTCCAAGGTCCCTCTCACATTTTTTGAGCCAGGTTCCACCTAATCTGTACTTATACCTTTGTTTTTCCTGCCCAGGTGTAAAACCTTGCTTTTCTCCACATTAAATTTCAGCTTGTTGGATAGGATTAGGGTTCACAAAATTCACAATTTTTCAGACAGTTGTCCTAGTCCAGGGGTTCCCCACCAGGGGTGCGAGACGATATTCCAGGGGGTGAGAAAACTCGAGTTTTCAAAATTATATAAAGTTTTATTGATTTTTTAAAACAGAATTCAATAATAATCATTCAACAAAATATGTTGTCTGAGTATCATATCCGCTAATACAAATCCCTAAATCTTTTCTCTAACCCAGGGGTCTTCAAACTTGGCCCTTTTATGACTTGTGGATTTCAACTCCCAGAATTCCTCAGCTTCAAGTTTATATTTGAAATAAGGACAATATTAAGAGTCATTTTACTATTTATTTATTTATTTATTTATTTATTTATTTATTTATGAGACTTATATACCGCTTTAAGTGCAAGCACTCTCTAAGCGGTGTACACCAGTAAGCAATGTATATATATATCTACATTGCCCCCAACAATCTGGGTCCTCATTTTACCTACCCCGGAAGGATGGAAGGCTGAGTCAACCTTGAGCCGGTGAGATTTGAACCGCTGACCTGCTGAACACAGTCAGCTAAAGTGGCCTGCAGTACTGCACTCTAACTGCTGCACCACCTCGGCTCTTATGCCTAGTGAATTTGTTAAAAAAAAGCCAGAAATTTCATATTCATTCATTAGCTTTAAAGATCAACATTCAATTGAAATCAGACTATTATCCTGCTGAAAGTAATGGACAGCCAATTAAAAAAAAGTCAAGGAAGATTATTTTTCTTACTTTTTTTTGAGCTTCCGGTACGGGGCGACGGCGATGGCGGCTACTTAGTAGCCGTCCAGCTGGGAAGGTGTCAGAATCGCGGAGCATAGCGCGTATCAGCTGGCCCGCGGTTCGAAATTCCCTTCCCGGGCAAAGGGAAGGGTCAGAGAATCCAGGAGTAGAGGTAGAACCCCTGAACCCCCTCTGGATTTATTCCTAGAGGGGGTGGAAGGAGTGTTCCCTCGGAGCTCCTGTTGATCTCCGCCTCCCAGCTGTTTTTGCTTCCCTTTGAAGCAAAAGAAACCGCCGCCTCTATCTCCGCGTCTGTAGCGTCCTGGTGAGTAAATTTTGAAGCGGACAGAGTGGTTTAAAGGATTTTTCCTTATATATACTTTAGTCTTTTATTTCTTTTTATTAGTTAGTTTTGATTATCTCTCCTTTGTTCTTTTTCTTGAGAGAGGAAAAAAGATGGTGTTTTAAAAGTGCCGGAGGTTTTTTTTTTTCCCTTTTTCTTTTGTTCTTTTGTTTTTAAAGTTTTGGACATAAATGATTGCATTTGATTTTTTTGCTTCTGGTTTTGGATTTTTTTCTCCTTTTTTCTTTGGTTTCTTAAGGATTATAGTGTTTTTGTCTTTTTTTTCTTTTCTTTTTAAAATTCTATTTCCCTCCTCCCCTTTTTTGGGGGGGGGAAGAAGGGAAGAGAGAACTGTGTCATATAAAATGGCTTCAAAGAGACAGCCACCTTCTACAATATCTAAGGTGGTCTCCTCTCCTATAGCCTCAACTGCACAACCACAACAACAACCTAAACATGTACCACCGACCCAGCCACCACCTTCTCCTCCTCTGCCAGGCCCGTCAGTACAAGAGATTAAAGGCATAATGGGAGATGTTGTATCTCAAATTAGAGATGAAATGAAGCAACTTGCCATACAGATTAAATCTGAAATTAAGGAAGAGATAAGTGGGATCAAGGATTCAATGGAAGATAATAATACTATTCTGCGGGAAGATATAATTGCAGCTGTATCAGGCCTGGCCACGGTGGTGGTGAAGCTGGATTCGAGAGTGGAGGAAGTAGCAGACAAAGTTGATTTTTTCGAGGAGAAATTCCAAGATATGGAAAGGAAGATGGAGACCTCACAAGATGACATCCTTATGTTTCAGTATAGGCAGATGGAGTATGCTCTGAGGATTAGAGGCCTTAAGGAAGATATGAATCAAGACTTGATGGAGGTAGTGCTTACTGATTTGGCTATTGCTTTGAATATGGATAAAGGAGAATTACGCAGAGAAGTGGAAAAAATCTATAGAGTTAACTCTTGGGTTGCCAAGCAGAAGAACTTGCCTAGAGATGTGGTGATTTATTTTACAAAGAAGTCTCTGCGTAATGAAATTATACAAGGTTTTTATAATAAGAGATTCCAGATTGCTGCTCAAGATATTATCATTTTAAAGGAAATCCCATCAAAAATTTTAAGAAGCAGGAAAGATTTTGCTTTTTTAACTAATGAGCTCAAAGCTAGATTGATGCCATTTAGATGGGAGATCCCAACAGGTATTGTTCTGAGTCATGCGGGGATGCGTTATAGGTTGAATACGGTTGAAAAAGCCAAGGAGTTTTACAACACGGTCCTGGGTGCAGGCTCAGTTCTACCTGCTCAGAAACCTCTGAGTGGCAAAGAGTTGGAGCAATCTGAAGCATCAGGCTTGGTTTCTGCTGGGATGCCGCAAGTTGAATGGCAACGTCAAATGGAGGTTAAAGATCAGAGAATGACCCGTGCAGCTTATAGACGTAAGGAGAAGGAGCAACATAAAAGAGAAGTTAAAGAATCTTCTTCTGAAAGTGATTCATTGCCGGTGGGAGGAGCAAGACCTAAGAGTTCTGCAATCCAGGCAGGAATGGCAGACCTTCAGGGAGTCTTCTCCAGGCTCAAGGCCAAGAGAGATGGCAAAGTTCCTGACCTGGAATGTTAACGGATTGAACTCCCCACAGAAAAGAAAGAAAATTTTTTACTATTTGAAGCAACATAATAATGATGTTATTTGTCTACAGGAAACTCATATCTTACTTAAAGATCAGAAATACTTAGTCAATGCCCGTTTGGGATCTCATTTTGTATCATCTGCTCCTGGGAAAAAGGGGGGAGTGGTTATCTACGTGAAGCAAAACCTAGCAGCTTCTTTGGTAGAATCAGATCCCCAAGGAAGATATGTGATGATTGAACTTGGTCTGTATGGTAAGAAAATACTTATAGTGGGACTTTATGCACCAAATCAGCAACAGGAACAATTTTATAGACTGTTACATCAAAAAATAACTTTGCTGGACTATAGATCCGTGGTATTAATGGGCGATTGGAATGGTGTTATGGATATACAAAGGGACAAGAAAGGCTTCTCTCCTCTTATTAAACAGGCAAAACTGCCTAAAGCCTTTTTTGATATGAAGGAGGACTGGGAACTAAGGGATTATTGGCAAGAATGTAATCAAGAGGAGAGAGACTTTACTTTCTTTTCAGATAGACACCAATCTTTTTCAAGAATTGATTTTTTTTTTTATTACAACGGACTTATATAATAGAGTAAAGAACGTAAAGATCTTTCCTAGGTCGTTGACGGATCATAGTCCAGTTTGGATGGAGCTGATTCAGGAAAAAGAGGAGAGAAGATCCTGGAGGGTGAATGAAAACTTATTTAGACAAGAAAAAAATATTCAAAAGCTGAAGGAGTCTTTAAAGGATTATTTTGTTTTAAATATGCATAAGGGGACTTCAATGTCAATGGTATGGGATGCAGGTAAAGCATTTATGCGTGGGATCTTGATAAAAATGAATAATTTTTATAAGCGAAGGCAGACTCAAAAACGTAAAGAACTAGAGGATGAAATTAAGTTAAAAGAAAAGTCTTTGATTTTAAATCCCTCTGATGAAAATATTAAAGAATCGGTAAAGTTGTTAAGAGCACAATTTAACATGCTCCTGGTGGATCAAGCTGCAACTAACTTATTGTTTATGAAACAAAATACATTTTGTAACGCCAATAAACCAGGGAGATGGTTGGCTTATCAATTAAGAAAGAAGCAGAGACAGAGGATAATAGATCAAATAAATTATAAGGGTAAAATAGTCTTCCAGAAGGAATTGATTAAGAAATCTTTTTTAGATTATTATCAAAAATTATATAAATCTGCTAATGTGCAAATATTAGATATAAATAAATATTTAAGTGAGGTTAGTTTTCCCCAATTGACAGAGGATCAAAAACAGGAAATTAATGGTTTAATTACTAAAGAGGAAATTGTGACAGCAATTAAGCAATTGAAACTAGGGAAAGCACCGGGTACAGATGGCTTGACAGCTGTTTATTATAAAGTCTTAATGGAGGAGATGATTCAACCATTAGGTGATCTTTTTAATGATATTCTACAGGGCTCAGAGATTCCTCCTTCATGGCGTAGTGCTTTTATTTCTTTGATTCCAAAAGAGGAGCAAGATCTTACTTTACCAAAGAATTATAGACCCATATCTCTTTTAAACGTGGATTAGAAGATATTTGTAAAAATTTTAGTAAATAGGTTCATGAGGGTTGTGCATCATCTTGTGCATAAAGATCAATCTGGGTTCATAATTGGTAGATATATGAAAAACAATGTTAGACAAATTATTAATTTATTAGAATATTTAGACAAGAACAACCAAGTCCCTGCAGGGTTGATTTTTTTAGATGCTGAAAAAGCCTTTGATCAACTGAATTGGCATTTTATGTTAAGAGTAATTGAAAAGATGAACTTTGGTGAAAAGATATTACAAGCTCTTACGGTAATTTATCAAAAACAAACGGCACAACTTATTGTTAATGGAGGTTTGTCAGAGGTATTTACAATAGAAAAAGGTACCAGGCAGGGATGTCCACTGTCACCGTTGTTGTTTGTTTTAACATTGGAAATATTGTTGATCAAAATTCGAGATTCGCAGGAAATTAAAGGAGTAGAAGTTAATAAAAAAGAATACAAGTTAAGAGCCTTTGCAGACGACTTGGTTGTTACTTTGTCGCAACCTATTAGTTCTGTAGTAAAGTTATTGCAGCTAACTCATCAATATGGTTTGGTTTCGGGTTTTAGGATTAATGTTAACAAGACTAAAATCTTACCTAAAAATATGACTATTCAGGAGAAGCAGACTTTGGTTAACTTGACGGGTTTTGAAATTGTTAATAAGGTAAAATATTTGGGGGTGATGCTATCTGTCTCTAATGCAAAACTATTTAAAAACAATTATGATAGGTTGTGGGTCAGTGTACAGAAAGACTTGAAGAATTGGGAGAAGTTGCAATTATCTCTCATGGGAAGAATTGCAGTGATAAAAATGAATATTCTACCTAAGTTTCTTTTCCTGTTCCAAATGTTACCGATTTTGAAGAATGAGATTAATTTAAGTGAATGGCAGAAGGGTGTTAATAAATTTATTTGGGCAGGGAAAAAGCCAAGGGTCAAGTTTAAAATTATGCAAGATTTCCGTGAGAGAGGTGGACTCAAGGTACCGAATTTGAAATTATACTATGATGCTGCGGTTTTAACAATAATTAGTGACTGGGTAAACTTGACAAATCTTGAGATACTTCATCTAGAGGGATGGGATTTACTCTATGGGTGGCATGCCTATTTAATATTTAACAAAAAAGTGGACTGGGTTTTTAAATCTCATATTATAAGAATTTCCTTACTTAGGGTTTGGAGAAAGTACTACAAAAATGATTTTAAAGTACCATTATGGGCTATACCTTGGCATGCGATAGAGGGAATAAAAAGAGGTGTCAAAATGGATATGGTGTCTTATAGACAATTACTCAGATGGGATGGACAAAATTGGCAATTAAAACTACGGGAGGATTTAGCACAAGAAAATTTCATTTATTCTTGGTTCCAATATAGGCAACTAGCAGATAGATGGAAGGTGGATTGTAAGGTGGGCTTTCTTAGAGAAGATGAAAATCTTATTAAGCAAGTGAAGGATCAAAGACAAGCCCATATTAAGAGAATTTATGGGGTGCTAGTCGAACTGGATTCGGAAACGGAACTAATTAAAGATTGTATGATTAAATGGGCCCAAAACTTTGGTGAACCAGTCCCATTGGACATATGGGAAACCATATGGGTAAGAAATGTCAAGTTTACGCAGACACAGAATTTAAGGGAGAATTTTTACAAAATGTTTTATAGATGGCACCTTGACCCACAAAAAATGTCTTTCATGTACCCTGACCTACAGCCCAAATGTTGGAGATGTGATTGTTTGGATGCCACTTATTATCATATTTGGTGGTCGTGTAAAGAGATAAAAGCATTTTGGATTAAGATATGGTGGAATATCCAGAGAATTCTTAGAAGGAGGGTAAAATTTACTCCGCAGCTATTTTTGTTGGGTATAATTATTGATTGTGATACAAAGGAGGTTATATTGGTGTTAAATTTGATCACAGCCGCAAGGCTGTTAGTAGGACAATATTGGAAGAAGGAATCCTTGCCTACATTGCAGGAATGGTTTTCTAAAGTGTCTTATCTGGCGGAAATGGCAAAGATTTCGGCTTTTTTAAAGGATCAAACGCAAGAGAAATTTCTTGCTGTTTGGGATAAATGGATAGAATTTATACAATTTAAATTGGATATAAAAAAATATGTTGCCTTTTTATAATTTATATATATATATATATATATATTTCTTAGTTTTAAACTTTTTTTTTCCTTTTTACATATATATTTTTTAATTCTTTTTTAATTAAGCCTATATTCTGCTCTGAGAAGCTCGGGGGGGGGGAAGGGGGGGTGTTTTGGGGGGGGTGGGGAAGGGGATGTTATGTTTAGTTTAGTTTTTTTGTGTATTCTGTATTTTTTGTTTTTGAATTGTTGTATTTTTTTCTGTTTTTTCGTCTTTTTGTCTTTTTTGTAAAAATTTATAAAAATGTTCAATAAAAAAAAGGAAGATTATTTTAATATGGTTATTGTTCTGAGACAATTAATATGCACAAAAATAGAAAGATTCTGAAATTTCCAGAATGGTGGAATGGGTGGTGAAGATGACAGAACTATCAGAGATGGCAAAAATTGACTTAGAGAAAGATCAACAACTACATTTAAATAGAATAGAATAAAAATAGAATTCTTTATTGGCCAATTGTGGAATTTGCCTCCGGTTCATAAGCTCTCAGTGTGCATACAAGCAAGAGGTGATTATCATAATAATAATCATTTATCAGTGGCTGCAAACCCCTTAGAGATTTTTTGCTAAAAAAAAAAAAAAGAAATGCTTAAATGTTTTTGAAGATCAGAAAAAGAAATTATGATGTAACTTTCAAGAGAGAGGGAAAATGTTAAGATATTTAAATGTCACAGCTGGAATAGTAAACCAAAATACACAGTTGTGGTTGATTAATTGGAGAGTGCTGGTTCCTGTGTGATGCAATCTGCACTGTGATTGGTTGCTTTGGGTCTGAAGGGGGAGGTTCCCTTTTTCCCGCCTTTTTCTTCTATGAGCTCTGTGATTTACCTCATGATGTTCCTGATGTATTGATTTACCTCATGATGTTCCGGATGTCTAGATTTACCTCATGATGTTCCTGTTTTCCGACTTATCTAGTTTGCTGTATATATAGTTATAAAATATATTTGTTTCTATAAAACTACAAATTCGTGTCAACGTCTCTGACTTCATTTGGACACCGGCTGCACAATTCCCTGATGAAAAATATACATGCATCTATAACCACTGTCAAGAAGATCAGAAACTGCTTTTTATATATTTTTTTTCATGGGTTTTTTTCCATTATTTACTATTTTTCTTTATTGCCTTTGGTTTCCATTCTAGTTAGCTCCTATTATGTTTTTTAACTCTGTTAAAAAAATCCATAAAAATTATGTATAAAAAGGCTGTGATTTAATCCTCCTCTGATGCTGATGGGCCTGGCTTGTATAGGGAGTTAATTCTTTTCTGCACAAGTTGCGTCCTGACTTTTCAGGAGTTTTGTGCCACTGAACAATTGGAAGGCGATCTCTTCATAATACGTCGACTCTCCACATTCGAACAAACAGCCAAAGAAGAGGGGATTTTCCCCAGTGCAAACAGCCAAGTCTGAGTAGCCACTGGGTCCTGTGTTCAAGATCCATGGCGTCTTCCAGGAATTCTCCTCCAATGGACAGGGGTTCAAGTAGATGCCCAGATCCGCACGCTCCTTTCGCTTGGTGGGATGGGAGAAGATCAACCATGATTCGGGGGTCTTTGAGGAAGCCAAGAGAGACCCCAGTTGTGGTGAAGGAAAACTCACCACGCTGCCTTGGCATCCATTATGAGGCTCCGCCAGCTTCTGAGATTGGAAGGGGTGTTCAAAGAGTCTTCCACCGTCTCTGCTGAAGGCCTCCACTCGGTATCCGTCACCGCCACGGGCGTTACAGTATAACACTGGGCTGTTATTCTCATCCATCACCTCCGCCATTTGGCACTCTGAGGCCCGCAGGGGTTTTCCAAGAAGCCGGCCTTTCAGCCATGTCTTCCCACCATCGTCGCTGTAGAAAGCGAAGGAGTGGGGTTTGATAGCACGGCACAGCGAGTGTCCAAACCAATGTGTGTGAATGTAGTAAGCGTAGGCCGGGATGATCAGCCGCCCGGAGCTCAGCTGCACCCCGTGGCCCGGTCCCACGGCAAACGTGGCCCAGTTGCTCACATCCTCTCCGATCACCTGTTCGGTGACATCCATCATTGGGCTCCAGGTGCGTCCGCCATCTTTGCTGAAGATGTAGGCCAGCCTGGCCGCGTTTTTCCCTGTCTTGATCTGATACTGTTCCGACACATCAGCTTTCACACAGATGAAGAACAAGAAAATTGTGCCTTCCTTTGAGTCGTACACTGGACACAGATTCATGGTGCGATATTCGGATATAACAGTGGTTTCCAGAGTTTGCAGGGGACCCCACTAGAGAGAAGATATGAAATGGTCAGATATGAAATAGTCCATCAGATTCTGGCAAATCATGTCGGCTTTCTTTGGAAAAAAAAAAAAAACAACCAGAAAAAGCTTGGGACTTATTTCAGCTATTGTATTGCCTATTTTGCGCTAATTCATATTTTGCTTTAAGCCAGTTATGCAGCAAGCCAGTGTTCTAATCTAATTCATGCATCCCACTAAGCTATAAATTGGTTTGTGTACAAGCCACAGTGTTCTTTCATGCACAACACTATGTATAAATCATGGCTTTAATTTATGCACAACACTAAGTAAAAAATCACACTTTGTTTACAAGCCACATTGTAAATTCATGCCATAAATCATGGTTTGTATACATCGAACATAGAATGTAGAACAATAGAATTGGTGTTGCTCTTCTCTACACAATTTCTAGAGTCTCAACATCTTTTTTATGTTATGGTGACCAGAACTGGATGCAGTATTCCAAGTATGATCTTAATAAGGCTTTGTAAAATGATACTAACTGCCTTAGTTATGTGCCCCTCATTCCATTTTTTGTACTTATCCTTTTTTTTTCCTCTCAGTGGTCTGAGAGTTATTTGTGCAACGGTGATGGTTTTTTTCGTGGTTTTTTTGTTTTTTCTTTTTTAGTGGTATTGAACTGGACTGGGCTTTTATAATCATATCTTTCAGAGTTTCCCAAGCTTCTTTAATTGATTTAACTGATTTCCCCTTCAAGATGTTCATCCATGGGATCCTTCCCAAGCTTTTCTCTCGGCTCTTTTAAATTCTAAGGAACTGGTTTGATTATATTCTGTTGCTTTTCTCTCTTTTACGTTGAATACGAATATGAAAGAACTCACTCCTAAAGTTCTTGCAGTTTCAATCCCCTCTATCACTTCTTCTCTGTTGGTAAGAATTGGCAAAAACCCCATTCTTTTAAAGCTTGTTGATTTTTTTTTTCTGCAGAACCCAAATAAGAAAACTTTGGAATTGGGCTGTGATGCTAATAAAATTTTCAGGTTTCTCTGACCTTACAGCTATCTCACAAAGGCATCCCCAAAACTCAAGATACACGTCCTGGGATTCAATTGCCTCACACTAGCCAGCAGTGTGCTGCAGCTGCCAAAAAGGCCAACACAGTGCTAGGCTGCATTAACAGAGGAATAGAATCAAGATCACGTGAAGTGTTAATACTACTCTTCAATGCCTTGGTAAGGCCACACTTGGAATACGGCAACCAGTTTTGGTCACCACGATGTAAAAAAGATGTTGAGACTCTAGAAAGAGTACATAGAAGAGCAACAAAGATGATTAGGGGACTGGAGGCTAAAACATATAAGGAACAGTTGCTAGAATTGGGTATGTCTAGTTTAACGAAGAGAAGGACAAGGGGGGACATGATAGCAGTCTTCCAATATCTCAGGGGCTGCCCCAAAGAAGAGGTAGTCAAGCTATTCCCCAAAGCGCCTGAAGGCAGGACAAGAAGCAACGGGTGGAAACTCATCAAGGAGAGAAGCAACCTAGAACTAAGGAGAAGCTTCCTGACAGTGAGAACAATTAATCAGTGGAACAGCCTGCCTCCAGAAGCAGTAAATGCTCCAACACTGGAAGTTTTTAAGAAGAGACTGGACAGCCATTTGTCTGAAATGGTGTAGGGTTTCGTGCCTGAGCAGGGGGTTGGACTAGATGACCAACAAGGTCCCTTCCAACTTTACTACTATTATTATTACATGTCCACCATCTTGACTTTTTTGACTACCTCTTCCATTTCAGCCTGTTTCCCAAACTTTTGATTTGGACAATGTCAGCTGGGATCCCTCATCTGCTAAGCCACAATGAAATAAATTGAGGTTAATAGCAACCACACTTAAGCATGCTGTACTAGGGTAGCAACCCGGATGTTTGCTAGTCTGGTTCAAGCGGTCGTGTGAACGCAGCCATACTGTGACATGGGGTGGAAAGACAATCTATGGCAGTGGTGGCGAACCTATGGCACGGGGGCCAGAGGCGGCACTGGGAGGCCTCTCTGTGGGCACACGTGCCGTTGCCCCAGCCTTGCCTTCCCCCGCGACCCCCTCCTCACCAGCAGCCCCCCTGGAGGAGAGTCGCTCCCGAGTGTGGCCCATGTGGAGCAGCACAGCCAAAGACATGGCAGCCAGGCAGCGTAGACAAGACTGTGCCCTCACACCCCAGTTGATGCTGCAGGATGTGGGCAGAGGGCATAGCCGCCATGGCCGCCATGGCACTGCTGGGCTGCATGGGCAATCCGCAGCGGGCCCTGGAGGCGGTGAGTGGTCCTGCGGGCAGGGGGGTAGGCAATGGGGTGGAGAACCAGGGGTCAGGGCTACTTTGGGACTCTGGAGTTACCTTGACGGACAGACCCTTTTTCTGCCCACATCGCATCACCAGGAACTTGGCGTGTACATCCCAGTGCGACGAACGTTCTTCTGCAAAGGCCAGGAAGGTGGACTCCGAAGACAGGTAGAGCAGAGCGGGGATGCGGTAAGTGATATCCCCCTCCTGGCGGAAGAGGATGACCTTCTCAGACACCCCCAGAGTCTCAGCCATCTTCTCTGAAGAAAGGCGGGAAAATTCCAGGAGGGGGGGGGGAAAAGAGAGGCCCAGTCAAGCCGACATTTCTGATTGTCAGCACTAGCAATTTCAGCTCATCTGAATGCCCTGTGGACAAGGCTAAGATGGGTGGACTTCAACTCCCAGAATTCCCTAGCTAGATATTTAAAAACAATAAAAACAACTATTTCCAATGTTAAAAGAAACAACTTAGCTTTCAGTGGTCCCCTGCCAGCGTCCTCAGAGTAAAGCCGAGGTGGCGCAGCAGTCAGAGTGCAGTACTGCAGGCCACTTTAGCTGACTGTGTTCAGCAGGTCAGCGGTTCAAATCTCACCGGCTCAAGGTTGACTCAGCCTTCCATCCTTCCAGGGTAGGTAAAATGAGGACCCAGATTGTTGGGGGCAATGTAAAATATATATATACATTGCTTACTGGTGTACACCGCTTAGAGCAGCGGTTCTCAACCTATGGGTCGCGACCCCATTTGGGGTCGAACGACCATTTTACGGGGGTCGCCAACAACGCGATCTGTCATTTTTCCCCCTCAGGGGGCGGCGCCGCGCATGTGCGGTGCGTCCGTGTGACCGGGGGTCGCCGTATAAAAAGGTTGAGAACCGCTGGCTTAGAGAGTGCTTGCACTTAAAGCGGTATATAAGTCTCATAAATAAATAAATAAAATAAATAAATAAAGCTCAGGGGGGTGGGGAGATTCTTTTTATACACCTTGCTGGTCTAACTGCTTACTCATTGCCCGTGTGATAGGGCCATCCCTCTTAATTAACTGTAATTGCCTTGGTTGCCCCGCCTTCTCTTTTTTTTGCACTCCAATTCCACATCCTTCCCCTCTCTCATCCTTGTTAATCTCCTCCCTCCCAGCACCATTGCTGCCGGCGTGCTCTCCAACCCCTCCCTCCTGCTCATTCCGGATCCAGTGTTCCAAAAGGCTTGCCATCAGCACTCCCTTCCTTTCTAGCAAAGCTGGCTGAGGAATTCTGGGAGTTGAAGTCCACAAGTCTTAAAGTGGCCAAGGTTGGGAACCCCTGCTCTACATGTTGTTCCTACCTTCCGTCATCCATTCCTGTCGGTCTTTTTTTCTCCGATTTCTCTCCACTCCCGGGTGTGCGCACGCTCCATCGTGCCTCATCCTTCTGCTCCGTCTGTCCACGACGGGCATCCCCACCAGTCGTGGGCAGACGGAGCAGAAGGATAAGGCACGATGGAGTGTGCGCACAACCGGGAGTGGAGGGCAATCAGAGAAAAAAAGACTCTACGGGATCCCCACCGGTTGTGGGCAGCCTGGCTGTGTGCCCATTAGTCTTTTGTGTTGTAACGACCTGGGTTACCACACACTGGCAGTTAAAAGGAAGAAACAGCTACGATCACACATTGTTCCTAGAAGCACGAAGCCGAAAACACCAGCCTGAAGATGACGAATGGGACTTTGTCGAAACGTCGCCAAGACACTTCCAATTTGACGCGGGAGAAAACCCGAATAACCAAAGGCATGCTCCTGCATTTCAAAAGTTGCTCAGTTGGCTTCATTTTTTTCCAGCCTAGCTATCCTTCCCATTGGCCGGACGTTTTGAAAGGGGTTTATTCTATTCTTATTCTATTCTTAATATATATATTATTCTTAATCTATTTGCCACTCTGGCAAGCTCATTCTAGTGCTGCAAGCATTTGGGGTCTCCTCCCGGTTGCAATGGGCGGGGGAAAGGATGGGGAGGGCCTGTGAAAGACAGGTGCCAATCTAAGCAAGAATACCAACGGGGGGGGGAGTCAGGGAGCGGGGGGGAGAAGGGGGGCTCTTTTCCTTCTAACCATCCATCCAGGGTGGTAAGCGATGATGGGGAGGGGGGAGACGAGCTCGCAATTTTCTAGATCAGTTGTGGCGAGCCTATGGCACGGGTGCCAGAGGCGGCACTCGGAGCCCTCTCTGTGGGCACACATGCCGTTGCCCCAGCCCTGCCTCCACCCGCGACCCCCTCCTCACCAGCAGCCCCCCTGGAGGAGAATCGTCCCTGGTCGTGGCCCACGCGGAGCAGCGCAGCCAAGGACACGGCAGCCAGGCAGCGTAGACAAGACTCTGCCCTCACGCCCCAACACGCACAGTCGATCCTGCAGGGCGTGGGCAGAGGGCGTGGGCGCCATGGCACTGCTGGGCTGCCTGGGCAATCTGCGGCAGGCCCTGGAGGTGGTGAGTGGCCCTGCAGGCAGGCAGGGTGGGGCAGAGCGTGGGCGAGGCAGGGGGTGGGCAGGGCAGGGCGTGGAGCAGGAAGGTTTGCTATCACTGCTGTAGATTGTTCCTCACCCTCCCACCTCCCTATTGCACCATGGGGGGGGGAAAGCAGCACGCTGTGCCCCATGGAGGGCGGGGAAAGCAGCCTTGTGCAATTGGTGGGGGGAGGCTCACAATTCTGGGAGTTGAAGTCCACGAGTCATAAACGAGCCAAGGTTGCCTATCCCATGGCCTATAGCAGTGGTTCTCAACCTTTTTAATGCCGCGACCCCCCAACCGGTCATAAGTCGAGGACTACTCAACCGGTCGTAAGTCGAGGACTACTCAACTGGTGCAGTACCGTTTGCAGACTGGGACTTTTGGCGGGCTCAGCAGGGCAGAGACAGCTGGACAATTCCTATTGGCTTTGGAAAGCCAATCGAATTAGACTCTATTCAAGAGAGTCTATTCTATTGGCTTTCCAAAGCCAATAGAATAAAAGGGAGTAGCACAGCTAAGGAAAAGGGGGGGGGGGAAATGGCGGACTGCGTTGTTTGGCGACCCCCGTGAAATGGTCGTTCGACCCCAAATGGGGTCCCGACCCACAGGTTGAGAACCGCTGGCCTATAGCAATGTCATTCCCCCCCCCTTTATATTGACCCATATGGATTCTAACAGGTTTCCATCCTTGGTTTTATAGATTTCTGCAGAACTGTAATGGTCTTTTATACACAATTCAACTCCACCTCTGTTTTTGTTAGATCTGTTCCTTTCGTAGAGTTTGCATCTTCCATCAGCACGTTCCAGGAATGAGTTTCCCTCCGACAAGTTTCAATAAAGAGCAACGCCCTTCGTGTCCTCGTACTTCACTTTCTCCTTCTTTGTTCCCTAAATTGTTCGTTCTTGCAAAACAGGTTTTTTTGAGGAGCTAAGCTTGGAAATGAGTATGTTCACACCTATAAAATATTGTTTTCTCTTTCCTAAGTTTGCCATTAGCCCATTTCTCAGTTGCTTGCCACTGCAGTACCATCCGGGGTTCACTTTTTATTTTATTTATCTGTATCCTGCCGTTATAATTTTTACCAATAACCCAAGGCAGCAAATATATATACAACACACCTTCCTCCTTCTGTTCTCCTCACAACAAGAACAACAATCCTGTGAGGTGGGCTGGGTTGAGAATGATTGGCTAGCCACCTACCCACTCTCCAGCTCCTAGTGATTTCATGGCTAAGGCGGGACTAGAAGTCTCCAGCGCCTAGAATTCTCCAACGCCTAGTGATTGATCCCAAATCACCCAGGGGGCTTTCATGGCTAAGGCGGGATTAGAACTCTCCAGCACCTAGTGATTGACCCCAAATCACCCAGGGGGCTTTCATGGCTAAAGCGGGATTAGAACTTTCCAGCGCCTAGTGATTGACCCCAAATCACCCAGGTGGCTTTCATGGCTAAGGCGGGACTAGAACTCTGCAGCGCCTAGTGATTGATCCCAAATCACCCAGGGGGCTTTCATGGCTAAGGCGGGACTAGAACTCTCCAGCGCCTAGTGATTGACCCCAAATCACTCTGGGGGCTTTCATGGCTAAGGCGGGACTAGAACTCTCCAGCGCCTAGTGATTGACCCCAAATCACTCTGGGGGCTTTCATGGCTAAGGCGGGATTAGAACTTTCCAGAGCCTAGTGATTGATCCCAAATCACCCACGTGGCTTTCATGGCTAAGGCAGGACTAAAACTCCTAGTGATTGATCCCAAATCACCCAGGTGGCTTTCCTGGCTAAGGCGGGACTAGAACTCTCCAGCGCTAGTGATTGATCTAGCTCTGGCGCCACTCTCCAGCGCCTAGTGATTGAAAAGGCTCCAAGTGGGTGGCTTTCATGGCTAAGGCGGGACTAGAACTCTCCAGCGCCTAGTGATTGACCCCAAATCACCCAGGTGGCTTTCATGGCTAAGGCGGGACTAGAACTCTCCAGCGCCTAGTGATTGACCCCAAATCACCCAGGTGGCTTTCCTGGCTAAGGCGGGACTAGAACTCTCCAGCGCCTAGTGATTGACCCCAAATCACCCAGGTGGCTTTCACGGCTAAGGTGGGACTAGAACTCTCCAGCGCCTAGTGATTGATCCCAAATCACCCAGGTGGCTTTCACGGCTAAGGTGGGACTAGAACTCTCCAGCGCCTAGCGACTGATCCCTCACCCAACGGCTAAGGTGGGACTAGAACTCTCTAGCGACTGATCCCAAATCAACGGCTAAGGTGGGACTAGAACTCTGCACCCCAAATCACCCAGGTGGCTTTCCTGGCTAAGGCGGGACTAGAACTCTCCAGCGCCTAGTGATTGACCCCAAATCACCCAGGTGGCTTTCACGGCTAAGGTGGGACTAGAACTCTCCAGCGCCTAGTGATTGATCCCAAATCACCCAGGTGGCTTTCACGGCTAAGGTGGGACTAGAACTCTCCAGCGCCTAGTGATTGACCCCAAATCACCCAGGTGGCTTTCATGGCTAAGGCGGGACTAGAACTCTCCAGCGCCTAGTGATTGACCCCAAATCACCCAGGTGGCTTTCCTGGCTAAGGCGGGACTAGAACTCTCCAGCGCCTAGTGATTGACCCCAAATCACCCAGGTGGCTTTCACGGCTAAGGTGGGACTAGAACTCTCCAGCGCCTAGTGATTGATCCCAAATCACCCAGGTGGCTTTCCTAAGGTGGGACTAGAACTCTCCAGCGCCTTGATCCCAAATCACCCAGGTGGCTTTCATGGCTAAGGTGGGACTAGAACTCTCCAGCGCCTAGCGACTGATCCCAAATCACCCAGGTGGCTTTCCTGGCTAAGGCGGGACTAGAACTCTCCAGCGCCTAGTGATTGATCCCAAATCACCCAGGTGGCTTTCACGGCTAAGGTGGGACTAGAACTCTCCAGCGCCTAGCGACTGATCCCAAATCACCCAGGTGGCTTTCCTGGTAAGGCGGGACTAGAACTCTCCAGCGC